TATATATATATATATATATGTATATGTATACGCCCTTTTCCTGGTGTCATCTAAAACCAGGATTCTTTTTTTTATTTTTATTTTGTACATTTTTATTAAACCCCTTTTCGTTACAAGCACTCATAAAGTTTTATAAAAAATATTTTCTTAACCCTTTGAGTACACATTTATTTGAAAATTACTTTATATAATATATAAAGTAATTTTCTTTATATTAATATATATATATATATTATAATAATTTAAAATTAATATTAAATATATAAACAAAATCGTGATGGAGGAAATGCGAAATTGTAAATCAACATCAATATGCGAACAAACATCACCTCATAAGAACCATCTGTTAGGCTAAGGTGTATTTTAATTTATAATCACGTTTAATTTGTTATAATTATATTGTATTCTCCATCGAGCCTGAAACACACACATAATTTGTTTCAAAAAAAGGAAAATACTTCCACGTATCGTACCGCGTTCGTAAAAGTCATCACTTATCGTGTTCGTCGTGATAAAAAACGACATGAATTTTTGTATTCTTTAAATGTTAAACTATAGTACGAAAAAAAGAATTGAAGCAAAGGAAAGAAAATAATATCGAAGAGAAAAAATGAAATGAATGAAAAAGAAGGGGGAAATAAAAGAAAAAGAAAAAGAAAAAGAAAAATAGAAAAAAAAATTAAATAAATAAATAAATAAACGATTATCGTGCCAATATAATAAAGACAAAAGTTGCCATTTGAAATGTGCCAATTTAACGATTAAATAATGTCGATTTATAAGCGCGTTAAAAGCGAAAAAAAGTCGAATAGAAAAAATAAAATAAAATAAAATAAAAAGGATAAACAAAAGAGTGAAATAGAAATGTGGAATAGAAGAAAAAAAAGGGGACGGGGGGATGTTTAGTAGAAGACGGAATCGATTTTTCTCCGTTTTCACGTGTATCATATATATAATACGATGAAAGATCGATATCGTCGACAAAAAAAATATTACAAAAAAAAAAAATGAGAATTTAAATGGAAAATAAAAATTTAAAAAAATGCGAACAGGAATAAGAAGAAGAAGAAGTAATAGAGAAAAAAAATTAAAAAGAAAAGAAAAGAACATTGTATGAAGTACAATACCAGGTGAACCTGAGACATATCTAACTTTGTAATTAAATCTTTAGGCGTAATAATAATAATAATAATAATAATAATTATAATAATAATTATAATAATAATAATAATAATAATAATAATAATTATGTAAATGTAAGATTAGGTTCCGCTACGTTTAATTGCGTATCACGCGGACTTATGTACAGAGTATTCGAATCTTTCTTGTGATATAATCGTACATTATTAAGATATCAATCAAACCGATTCAAAAGATGGCGGATCATGACAAAAAAAAAGAAAAAGAAAATGAAAAGGAAAAAAAAAACAAAAAAAATACCACAACAAATAACGATTTACTCTACATTCCATGTTTTTTCATAGAGAGAGAAGAACAACAACAAAAAATAGAAAAAATAAAAAAAAAAGTGGTGTTAGCGTGTGGTCGCGAAAAACAATACGCGAGAGATGAAAAACAAAAGAAAAACAAAGTAAATAAACGGAGAAAACTATCCTCTGAACCAACCACCACCAACCATCACCATTTCCTAAAACCAGCAGCAGCAGCAGCAGCAGAACCATCACTACCATTACCATCACCATCATCATTCATCCCTTTTTTCTGCGCTCTCGATTAGAATCGTGTAGCGTTGATATTTGTGCTCTAACAAAACCCTTTCTATCCTCGAACAATTTTTGAATTATTCAAGTATTCGAGTTCAATGATTTTTAATTGCAGATTCGCGATTTTGATCAGTATAAAAAAAAACAAAAACAAAAATCAAATTTACACGATTAAATGATACTGTGAATTTCGAAAATAAACGTTCATACCTTCGATTAACGATAAAACTAAAAGTAAATATTTAAATATTTATTCGTGACATTTTCTATGCAGAAACATGCAATGAATATTTCCCTAGTAGTACAAAATATTGAAAAATATTGAATACATGTATATTTAATATTAAAAAGACATTAAATCTCTTTTAACTAATAATGTAATTTAAATACACATGTATTCAATATTTTTCAATATTTTGTACTACTAGGATTTCTATCTCTATCTCACTCTCTCTCTCTCTTTCTTTGGGTTGTTTGGAAGATAATTTCATTTTTTCCTAACACAATAAAAGCATTAATTAATGCAAACCGGCAAATAACACGTGAGGTTGATGAGAAGTTAAATTTATCAAATTCAACTGTTTATGCCCACTTGAAAGGCCTAGGTTTAACCTAGTCTTCATTTTCACAAAAAGATAAAATGAAATTACTTTCAGAACAACCCAATATTTCTCACATTAAATAAATAACTTGCTGCAATACCGATTATTATAAAATAATTCGTCATTTGTTACTCGAAAGTTACATACGAATATTTTCGAGAATCATCGTAAACTCGTGAATCAAAAATGAATGAATAAAGAAAATCAATGAAGTAGAATACATACATTCCAACCTTTTTAGGGCCACTTCGAAATGGATTAGTTAGGAAAAAAAAAGAAAAAGATTAGAAAAAGAAAAAGAAAAGGAAAAGGGATAACGTAAACACCTTTTTATTTTCACTCGAGATTACCTTAGGGCAACTTCGTTAGGATTAAGACAATTCCAATAAATTAATACTTATTTATAATCTTTAGTAACGGCCGTAGAAAGAAAAATGAAAAAGAAAAACAAAATGAAAAAGGGAAAAAAAAAAGTATAAACAATTTTCTACCAGAATTTCTGTGCCAACCGTAAAAGAAAAAAAGAAGAAAAAAAGAAAAAAGAATGTTTGCAGAATGAATTTTGTTTGACAAGTTGGAGATACTACACAACATCAATCTAATCTTGTAAGATACTCAGATATATCTTTATTAAATATATTTGAATTTTTCGTAGTATATTATATTCTGATATTGATTATACAGTTTCATTTTTGTATATTGGTGTGAGATAAATAAATAAGGATATTGTTTCTAAACAATTATAAAAATGTCGGATTTCAGATTAGATGATCCTCTTGAGTGTGTGTGTTTATTTTATTTATTTTGTTTTTTATTTCTCAAAGCAGACCGAGGTCGAAAGATTTGAAAAAGAAAACAATGTAATTTGCATTCTGATAAAAAAAAAACTTAAAAAAAAGCACACATTTCTATTAAAAAGACTATGGTCTCTTTTCTTATATTTCTAATTCGATTTTAATCTTTTATCCTTCAAAATATATATAAACTTTATCTTTCAAGAAAAAAAAAAAATAAATAAATAAAGTAAATACAATGGAAGAATACAACCCCAATGCTGCTCTGAAGACTTTAAAAAAACTCTCTCTCTCTCTCTCTCTCCCCTGCTGGACATGAACACCTAATTTTTAAAAGATACACTTTAAAAAAAAACGTCTTTATTATTAGTTTTATGCACACTGACCACTTTTAAACGATGTAATTTTCTTCTCATCACGTGTAATAAACGATGCTGTTTCTTTTTGCCTGTAAAAAGTCTCTCTGATAATTGTCACATGCGAATAATAACAAAAATGGGAATGAGACAACGTAGAAACTTAAACAAAAAAGAATATCGTATTGTGCCAATAATAAAAAATATTATCAACAAATTTTCCCATTAAGATTCATTTGTTTATCGTTATAAAGTTTCGATTATTTATGTTAAATTGATAGATAAAATGTGCATGCAACTTTGTATACTCACGTTAGTTTCATCGAGACATCCCCCCTAGAGTTCCATGAATCACAGGAGGATCAAAAATATTTCAATCGAGAAGTACGCGTTCCCACGCGAAATTTTGAATTTTCTCATACACCTAAGGGAGATATATTAAATCGAGATTAGAAATAATGTGAATTTGTTAACACGATTGATCTTCCATCATCACCACCATCATCATCTATTAAAATGGTTTATTATTTTTTAATTTATTACGTTTTAATTATACGGTCGTATTTTTGTATTAATTGGAAACATGGTCGTACGAAAGTTAAAGATTATTTATTTATTGTTATCTCATTAACGATATAGTTTGATAATAATAATTTGAACAATAATTGATAAGGTGTTAATAATTTTCACACGAATTAAAATTTGTAGATAATTCAATTCAATTCATTGACGTTTTAAAACCACAAAAAATGTATTATTAATCATTTTGGGTATTAATATTATTTTGTATTCATTTTTTAAATAGATTTTTGTGTTTCTTTTTTTTTATTTTTTTTTATTTTTTTTTTATTTTTATATTATATATGTGTATTCTGGTTTATGACGATTACATATATGTCAAATGAATATTATATATATATATCATTTTAAAATATTTAGAAATTACGCAAACACACACACACACACACTCACACTCATATTATATTTTATATATTAATTATTTTATATTAATTTTCCATTTTTATTCTAAACAATAATTTTTCATGCTTATTTTATAGTTCAAATTTTGTACTTAAATGTACTTAAATCATTGTTTTATATTTTTCATGTGTATACGCCATCACGTGATTTTTTTTTTAATTTGTTTTAATACTATATTTTTGTTTAATATATTTGAATGAATAGTTTGTTTTTTTGTTTTTGTTTTTTTTTATAATATTCATGTTGATCATTCGATAATTATTAAATTTACTATCATCATGGTGCTGTATATTTTATTTAAGGTAAATAATTGTCTTATTTAAATATTTTTATTACTTACAAATATATGTGTAATTAATATTAATTTTTAATAGTCTAAAGTTTTTGTTTTTGAATAAGTGGAAAAAAAAGAATATGTATATGTGTGGAACAAATATATTGAGAAGATATAAATAATTGACAATTTTTTATCAATCACATAGACAAAATCAAGCATGTCTAATAAAAAGAAAATGAAAAAAGAATTTGCAATATTCGTGATATATTGTATTGTTTATTATTTCTACTTGCTTACTCTTAAATATTTATCCCTTTTATGACGATTAAACTATTAGTACACTCCCAAGAAAAGAAACGTTATACTAAATTAACAATTTATGCATTAAAAAAAAAAAGCTAGCTTAAATATTCAAAGCTCCAGTTCCCAGTATTCTCGTGCATTTTAAACTAAGTTTAATAAAAAGAATAAAATTAATCCACCCTAGTAGCACAAAATATTGAAAAATATTGAATACACATATGTATTTAATATTAAAAAGACATTAAATCTCTTTTTAATATTTATTTTTTTATATTATAATATTAATATAATATTATTTAATATTAATTATAATTATAATTTAATAATAAATACACATGTATTCAATATTGATCAATATTTTGTGCTACTAGGGCAGTTATATAAATATATTCTATTGAAATTATTTATCAAATATTATATAATAATTTATTATCTTTATTTTTTTAATACCAACATAAACCATTGCAAATCATTCTGTGAATGACGGATATATTAGTCATAGAAGGGTTAATATATTTTTTTTTTGTAAGATTATTTAATCTTAAAATAATTTGATATTTATATTATAATATTAATATAAATTAATATTTACTTTGATGAATATAATTTGAAAAAAGAATTCCATGTTGTTGCAAAAAATTATGAACTGTTTTAATACTGTAATGTGATTTTTAAATATTGCTAAAAGTAGAATTTTCATTTTGTAAACTTGTGTTCTATTAAAAACTTTAAATCTTTTTTATTTTCTTTTTTATTATTATTAATATTATTATTATTATTATTATTATTATTATTATTATTATTATTATTATTATCATTATTATTATTATTTTATTATTAATATTATTATTAATATTATTATTAATATTATTATTATTATTATTATTATTTGATTATACGTTTCGTCATATTAATATATTCTTATTTATCCACTGTCCGCGATAATGCTCATCCAAAAACGATATACGGCTTTAATAATAAAAAGTAAGTAAAGTAAAGTAAAGATGAATCATAAGAAAAGTTAAATCAATATGTTTTGTATGATTTACAAAATAATAAGAAAAAAAAAAACAATGAGTGAAATTTTATTGTAATAATTAAATCATACTTTAATGTATAAAATATTAACGCAAAATATTAATTTTTCCTTTTCCTATGGTTGAATTATAATTTAGCATTATAAGTTTTATATTTTGGTTTAAATAAAAGCCGATCCAGCATATGTTCGTTTATGGGTTTCTAATTATACGACATCATAGATCGAAGTATATTAAGAAAATAACACGTCAATGTGGTTTAAGGCTATGAAATAATATTTCTTAACTGGTGATTCATTTTAAATTGAGAAGAAAATGAAAAAACTTTTGCAGATGTTTACTTGGAAGGTCGTGTGTATGGAGCGCTGCGATATCGCGAGCTCGAGCCTGACGTTGATGTAGTCTTGTATGACTTCCATGCGCGGCTTGTTGTATCCTCTGCGAATTTTACGGATTTATGTATTTCAATTATTAATAAGTTTTATCGATGACGAATTCATTATTTTAACAAAAATCTCCCGTAGTGTAGTATTGATTAGAAATTTATCCACGATCACTCATATATTTTAATTTTTAATTTTTCTTTATGCGTTTCATCAATTTATTAATATGATTAAATTAATTTCATTTATTTTTCATTGTTAACGTATCGGTCAATACGTATATTAATAATTATGGTTTCATGAGGATCAATCATTAATAATTTTATTAATAGAGCTATTAATACAACGATTACTATTATTAGAAGTATTCTGCAGAGTTTACCAATTTTACGTTTACGCTGATCTCATTTTATTATTTATATTTCATTAAAGAAAGAAAAAAAAAAGAAAAAAAATGCATGAATATATATAAATCAGAGTGTTTAATATGAGAATTAATATTCTTACCTGGATACTCTGGCATTTCGTAATAATCATGTGATGTATGCGGCACGGGTTCTTCTTCGTATTCATAGGTAGAATATCTCGAAGTAGGATACATGTCGTCGCTGAATGATATTAAAACAAAACAAAAATAAAACCTTTATCGATCGTTTTTTTTTTTAAAAGAAAAATTACTCGCGTAACTACCGATAATCATTTTTATTTAAACTTTCTTTATTTATCGCATTAAAAGAATTCTTTGAATAAATGCAAGGGGAGTATTGATAATTACGATACAAGTTCAGAGAACTTGATTCCTTGTATGAAAGTATAAGTGGAACATTTTAAATGACAATATTTTATATGAGACTTTATTTTCAAAAAAATCAACTATGAAATTTTGTCAAATACGCAAATGGATTTCTTTGTATTTACAAGAATATTCCCTAGTAGCACAAAATATTGAAAAATATTGAATACATGTGTATTTAATATTAAAAAGACATTGAATCTCTTTTTAATATTTACAACTCTAGTAGCACAAAATATTGAAAAAATATTGTATACATGTGTATTTAATATTAAAAAAGAGATTCAATGTCTTTTTAATATTTAATACACATGTATACAATATTTTTTCAATATTTTGTGCTACTAGGGTTGTAACTTCCTATGGATTGCATTACTATACTAAATTCAAATAATACATTTATTTATTTAAATTGCTTTCCATTTTATCTTAAACAAAATGTTGCTTGTTACAGATTACAAAAGCATGAATTGCTGATATCTAGTAATCAAGTATAAAAAAAAACCTGTTCAATTAATTCTTATTACCAATCAATTTCATGCATATTTGACGGACTTTCATAGCTGATTTTCCCGAATATATAAAGAGCTTTGTTTTTTCCAAAAGAACAAACCTGTAAAAGGATTAACCCTATACATATCTAAAGAGTATAAGACAAAGTGTTGTATCTAACAAAATACCTAAACTAAATTAGATAAAAATGAACACAGTGGATTTGAAAATTCGCTTGGAAGATTATCTTCGGGTTCTGATCATGAACTGTACATACCTTGCAGTCGACGTATAATGACGATCTGCATATCGAGTATTTGTTGTCGAAGATGGATGATATTCGTAATCATGTGTTCCTACGCGATTATTTAAAGGCGGAGTTGGAGTCTCATAGCTTTAAAAAGAAATATATTTTTAAACGTTTCCATTACTATTTATTAGAAATAATGTACATGTTAACATTTACCCATAACTCTGATCCATAGCAGCTCGTGCACGGTCTAATATTGAAAAAATTTTAGTCTTTGCAGCCATTGGTCGAGAGATGGGTCCACGATTGGAAGGTGGAGGAAGAACAGGAGCTGAAACTGATTGAAAAATAAACAAAATTTTTGGTCTACAGTAAGTCTCCATCTTAAGGATATGAGAGATATAATAAATGTCATATCTTTTATTGAAAAGAACAAACCTCTTGATGACCTTGGCAGCGTTGGCCTGGAACTAGGTCTAAGAATACCACTTGCTGTAGGAGGAACACCTCTAACAGAAGGTCTTCTATCTTCAGAAACTGTTGAATCATCCGCCATGCTAAGTTCCATTTCTCGCATCTGTTCTTGCCGTATATTGTCGTTATTATCTGGAATTAAATATTTGCGAACCTCTGCGAGTGCAAATGCTATACGAGCATATGCTTCAGCTGGTGGAGCTAACGCTGTTATTTCTACATGTAGGTCATCCGATAGATGAGCATATTTTGGATCCAAAGACATACGACATTCTTCTTCCTGGAATAAATCATTGCGCTTTTAGTTTACTTAACAATAAACAGTAATAATAAGTATCATCGTTATTAAAATATCATTAATGCTAGTAGAATCATTTGAGTATGATGTAAGGACGTATACCTTTTGTCGATCTTTCATTGACCCTCTTCCTAAAACTGCCATCTTGCACAACGTTTCTTCTTGTAAACGTTTCATGGAATTTCCCTTTGGTCCCAATAGTTTTCCGACAAAATTAAACTACAGATAAAATGCAATAACATGTTAATAGAGAATTCATTTTATAAATGTTATTTAGTTCAAAACATATTGATTCAATATGATCCACCTTTGGATGTTCGCGAACAGGAACCAAGACTTTAACAGAAATGCGTATTGGTTTCTCACGATAAATATCAACATATTTTGGATCTCTTAAAGGCTTTCCAATAGCCTGAGTTTTTTGTATTTCTAAAAATTAACAAAAAATGTTTTATTAAACTCTAATTGCTATGTAATCTATCTATGTCAAATACACTTCAAAACAATTTGACAAAATGAATTCTTACCTTGATCAATCAAGCGAGTTGCATTGGGCCATTTTTGCGAATCCAATTCGACTTTTTCTTGCAAAAGTTCTCTTACATATTCCCCAGCCTTATCAACTTGATGATCCTTTTCTTCTTTTTTCATTGACAAATTAGAATTATTTTCTGGAGACTCCTCTCGATCATGCTGATAATCTCCATTACTTGATCTATCTGTCATTATTCTTTATCGTAGAAAATATAGATTAAAATAATAATCTCGCAATTTCTTTCAGTATGATACGAGATTAATAATCACGAATTCTGAAAGACTTATGCGTAAATAACAATAACACAATGGCTGTCCTCAGGGTGATCAAACTAACACATTCAATATCACTCAACACACTTCTGTTATAAAGAACATAATGCGCTTGCGCACTTTCTAACTAACACACTCAATTTTTTACTTTTCCTTCGTGTAATGCGCGACAATTATTTTCTACTTATTATATATATATGAAATTTACTGTTAAGGGCATAAAAAAAAATTACTAAACAATTTATAAAAATTGGACAAGTAATTAAATCACTAGCGTGAACTAGACTATTGGTGTAACGAAAGATTTTTTTTCTAAAGGTTCATGTTGATAGGTCGACATTTGACCAATCAAGTTAAGAGATAGTTTTCATTTGGATCATTTGGTTGCACCTGTTTACAAAAATTCTGTTAATGAGTACGGTACTTTAATTTCACCTGCATGTAATATTCGTAAGTTTTATATTTCTTTTACGGTTCCTGGTTCCATGCTGCAAGATTAAGTGCATGAGTTCATAACCCTACGGAATTTCATGGTAACGTTTTATAACAGACGGTGTTAATTACAGGCTCAAATCAAAAGATCATTTCAAAATGATTGAAAAATTATCAGAAACAATTAATTTTCCAAAAGAAGAAGAAATCATATTAGAATTATGGCAGAAATTGGACGTATTTCAAAACAGTTTAAAAATGTCAAAAGGTAAGCCAAAATATTCATTTTATGATGGTCCACCTTTTGCAACTGGTTTACCTCATTACGGACATATACTTGCTGGGACAATAAAGGATATTATAACAAGGTATGCTCATCAATGTGGGCGTCACGTTGAAAGGAGATTTGGATGGGATACACATGGTTTACCCGTTGAATTTGAAATAGATAAAGCATTAAATATTAAAAGTCCAGATGATGTTGCTAAAATGGGTATTGAAAATTATAATAAGGAATGTAGAAGTATTGTAATGAGATATGCTACAGAATGGGAGAAAATAGTTGGTAGAATTGGTAGATGGATAGATTTTAAAAATGATTATAAAACATTGTATCCGTGGTATATGGAGTCCATATGGTGGGTTTTTAAAGAATTATACAACAAAGGATTGGTTTACCAAGGTGTTAAAGTAATGCCATATTCTACCGCATGTAATACACCTTTGTCAAACTTTGAATCTGGGCAAAATTATAAAGACGTTGTAGATCCATCTGTAGTAGTTGCATTTCCTTTAAGAGACGAACCGGGTGTATCTATTCTAGCATGGACAACTACTCCTTGGACTTTACCTAGCAATCTGGCATTATGTTGTAATCCTACTTTTGAATATATAGAAGTTAAAGATAATAAATCTAATAATATTTATATTTTATTAGAATCTTCTTTAAATCTTATTTATAAATCCAAAGATCTTTATACTGTATGTGGAAAAAGAAAAGGATCAGATTTAAAAGGAAAACAATATGAACCACTATTTCCATACTTTGATCGATTACAAGAGAAAGGTGCTTTTGTAATATTAAATGATAATTATGTTACTTCGGAAAGTGGTACCGGAATTGTACATCAGGCACCTTATTTTGGAGAAGACGATTACAGATGTTGTTTAAATGCAGGTGTTATAACGAAGGACCAAGAAATTATATGTCCTATTGATAGTAGCGGTCGCTTTACAGATCCAGTTCATGATTTTAAAGGAAAATATGTAAAAGATGCGGATAAAGATATTATAAAATATATTCAAGCTAATAACAGACTAGTTCATAGTGTTCCAGTTAAACACAGTTACCCATATTGTTGGCGATCTGATACGCCATTGATTTATAAAGCTGTACCATCATGGTTTATTAGAGTCGAAGCAATAAAAGACAAATTATTAGTAGCCAATGCTGATACTCACTGGGTACCAGATTACGTCAAAGATAAAAGATTTGGAAATTGGTTGAGAGATGCTCGAGATTGGGCAATTAGTAGAAATAGATATTGGGGTAATCCTATACCTTTATGGATTTCTGAAGATGGTCAAGAAGTTGTATGTATTGGAAGTATTGAAGAATTGGAGAAATTAACTGGTACAAAAGTGTCTGATATTCATAGAGAAAATATAGACAATTTGACTATTCCATCTGCACGGCCAGGACATCCACCATTACGACGTATACCAGAAGTATTTGATTGTTGGTTTGAATCTGGTTCAATGCCCTATGCACAAATGCATTATCCATTTAAAGATCCAAAGAATTTTGAAGAAAGTTTTCCTGCAGACTTCATAGCGGAAGGCATTGATCAAACTCGAGGCTGGTTTTATACCCTTCTTGTTATATCTACTGCACTTTTTGGTAAAGCACCGTTTAAAAATCTTGTTGCCAGTGGTTTAATTTTAGCATCTGACGGACAAAAGATGTCTAAACGTAAGAAGAATTATCCTGATCCTATTGAAGTCGTCAACAAGTATGGCGCAGATGCTCTCAGATTGTACTTAATCAATTCACCTGTTGTTAGAGCGGAAAATTTAAGATTCAAAGAAGAAGGTGTTAGAGATATAGTAAAAGATGTGCTTCTTCCTTGGTATAACGCATTTAGATTTTTAATGCAAAATATTGAAAGATTTGAAAGAGAGGAAAAAACTAAATTTGTATATAAAGATATATCTAATAATTGTTCTAATAACATAATGGATAAGTGGATAATATCTTTCACGCAAACACTACTGAAATTTCTTCAACAAGAAATGCAAGCATATAGACTATACACTGTAGTTCCTCGTTTAATTAAATACATAGATAATCTTACTAATTGGTATGTAAGAATGAACAGAAGACGAATAAAAGGTGAAAGTGGTACTATTGATTGTCAAAATGCGTTAAATACCTTGTATTGTGTACTTTACACAATGGTTAAAATTAATGCACCTTTCACTCCATTTTTAACAGAGTTTATGTTTCAACGTTTGTCTAAACTACTTCCACCTGATTCTAATTCTAATATGGATAGTGTTCATTATCAAATGATTCCTAATCCTTATATTCATTTAATCGATGAAAGTATTGAAAAATCAGTATCCTATATGCAAACTATTATTGAGTTAGGCAGGATTGTAAGAGATAGAAAAACTATTCCTGTTAAATATCCTTTACCAAATATTATTGTTATTCATCAAGATAGTAACGTTTTGAAAGATATTGTTTCATTAAAATCATATATACTTGAAGAATTAAATGTAAGAGAATTAATAACCACGACAGATAAAGAAAAATATGGAGTAACTTTACGCGCTGAACCAGATCATAGAGTATTAGGTGCACGTTTGAAAGGAGAGTTTAAATCAATTACACAAGCTATTAAAGAATTGTCAGATGAACAGCTACAACGATTTGTAGCTACAAAGGAAATTACCCTACAAGGTCATAAGCTTGGCGAGGGTGATTTACGCTTGATGTTTAATTTTACCGGTCCAATGGCTAAACAACTTTCTAAAGAATACGAAGCACACAGCGAAGGAAATATATTAATTCTTCTAGGAATTACACCCGATGAAAGTATGCAAAATGAAGGAATAGCAAGAGAAATAATTAATAGGGTACAAAAATTAAGAAAGAAAGCTCAATTGGTGCCATCCGATGAAGCCATTGTTTATTATAAAATTCCAGATATAAATAGTAATTTAGCTAAAGTTATTCTCAGCCATAAAGAATTTATCGAAAGTGCTACTAAAACTCCTCAAAAAAATATATCTGAAATGTCTAATTATAATAATAATATTATTCTTGAAGAAATGCAAAACATTAAAGGCGTAGATATGAAACTTGTACTTGTTAAGAATACAATAAAAAGTACATGTAAAAATAATACAACGGATGTTGAACCATTTTTAAAATACGCTAATGTCCAATTAATTAACGTAACACCAAGATTTGATGCTACCAGTTGTGCAGGTACAATTTTGTTAGAAGTAGAAACAGTTGAAACTACAACTTTAATTTCGTATGAACAATTAAGACAAAATATAGATATTATATTTGGAATTTATGGAGTAAATTATGACTTATACGCTGATGGAAAATTACTTACAAATAATACGGATATTGCTTCATTACATAAAAAAATTATTCAAGTAGTTAAAATGGGCACTGAAATATTTCATACAATAGTTAATTGTAAAACTCCTAAATGTCATTTCCTTAATGTAATTAATGATACAAGAAAAACTACTATACTTTTAGAAAATCCTCAGGGAAACATTACATTTAATATGCTTGCATTGAAAAGATATATACAAGCTTTATTTAACGCAAAGGATAATGTATTTACACTTCCAGACGTATCGTCAATATTAGATTTACATGCTAAAACAATAAATATTAGTCATTCTACTTAAAAATAATATAACTTGAAAAAAGGTACAAATGATATAAATTATTCAACTATTTGATTTATTTAAAAATATCATTTCAAAAAAAATAACCCCAATTTATTTATATTTTATATAAAAATTATCATTTCACGTCATATTTTTTCCATTTTTTTTTTCAAATAATTAAAAAAAATAATAATTGCCTATTCTTGTATACCATCTATTGTCATACACATTATCATGTATTTATTCTATTCATAAAACTATTTATGTAATACTTTGTAAAACATGATAAGATAAAGAAAACAAAACAATTTCTTTATAAAGAAGCATGAATAAATAAACAAGACATTAATAATATGTGGAGTAATTGATTTCAAATCCGTAACATTTGTTAATGTTTTTTTACAAAATATTTTTCAATACAGCACATGAATCTAAAAAAAAAAAAATATATAAAATGTTGTATAGATTTTTGTTATTTTTTAATAACACTATCCAATAATATAAGAAATAATTACATAATTGATAACTTTATTTTTTTAATGGTTTACAAAATTATAATTGAATTATTATATCGTGTATTATATTCTTATTATAAATGTTTTTTTTTTTTTTTTTTCAAAATAATTATACATATTTCATTTTAATTGCATCAATATCAAGTCAAAAGATATAACACAGAAAGAAAAATATTTAATTATATTATACACATAAAGAAGATATTTTATATATCATATAATATATTTTAATATGTAAATATGTCATCTTCATTTTTATAAAGTGACAAATAGCTAAAAACTTACTGTTAAAATCATGACTATGATAATTTTGTTATTTCTTTTATAATAAGAATAGTAGTATTATATTAGTTGGAATGTCATTATGATTCATATTCACAAAGCAAAATAAAATATATCATAATTATTTCACTAATGAAGGGTCTTATTACATGCATTTGGATTACTTCAACTTGCAAAAATATTCACATTAAAAATGACTGTAACGTAAGATTAATAGATATGCTTTTTTAATGCTCATACTTAACTGTAACATATGATAAGAGTATGTATATTTTATAATTTATTTCTTTTTTTTCTAATTGTATTATTAATACATTTATATATTAATACATTTATTATTATTAACACATTTAATGGTCATTAACAAGTCAAATGCTTGTAATAATTTTTTATAAATGTATTTATAAATCAAAAATATTTTTTGAAAAATCATAATTCAATATATCTTTGATTAGTATATTAAAAATAATAATAATTATATTAATAAATACATAACAGTAAATAAAGAAATAATAACATAAAGAGCACCAGGATACAACCATACTCTATTTTCTTGGTTGCTGATCTTTTTCATAAAATAATTAACATTTCTTTTCTTTTATTTAGACTTTCTAAATTTTTTTTTCTTTTCTTTAGAGATTATCATTAAAGCTGAAATAATTCAATATAGATTTCATATCTTACTACATCATATTATACATATATATATATATATATATTAATCACTTGTTTGAGTTTTTTTTGTTCAGCAAAGTTACTTGTAAGCTATTAGAAAAATCACATTTTTTTTGTTTATATATTTATTCGTTATATCGATGATGTTTCTGCATAAATCAATAAGTAATACGAGAGTGCTGAAAGTCCATTCTTGTTACTTATCAATAATATTTATGATCAGTAAAATTTGTTTGAACAATTATTTGAATAATAACGTAGTAATATCAATTCACTCGATGTTTCTAATGCTATCTTGATCAGGAAAAAAATTGCTAAACAAAGGAACTGTGAATATTGCAGTGAGTGCATATAATACAATTGTAGCTGTCGCAGTAAAAAATTGGGCATAATGATAACGAGAATACCAAGCAAGACCTAAGATGAGTGCCAAAATGCTCATTAAGAGCCTACTTAAATCCCATTCATTATGTACAGAGCTGACTCCATTACCCGCAGGGAGATCTTGAAAAGTCTGTGTATTAAAGTAAATCGATGAATCTTCCAATGTATGAGGTCTCGATGATGTTGTTGCTGGCCGTGGTTGATGTACTAAACAATGAACTACACAATGATTATAAAGACCACATCTTTCTAATGTTTGACTATCCGGTTGAAGCACTTGACCTTTAAATACTAAGCGCACCAACTTTTGGGAGTCAAGTTCTACTTGAAAGTGTCGTCTGAAAAAAAAATATAACGAATAAATAAAGATTATTTTTCGTTATAATTTTTACAAATAAATACACATGTACCTTTTGAAGTCTCCAAGCATTTCTTTAAGACTTCCTGTCACGACTTTTTGATCGTCATTTATAAATTTTAATTTTATACTAATTTCATTAGCATTGGCAGTTGACAAGTTGTCAGATGGACATTCTGTACTAGTACACATCGACTCTGTTAAGTTAGATTCATCTGTAGAACTTTCCTTATTAGGTTTTTCTAATGCTATTGTTTCTTCGTTATTAAATGAATCCATAGTTTCAATGAGAATTTCTTCAGAAGTTGTAGGTTCTGGTACTCTACGTAATGCTGGAGTAGTAGCATCTAATATAAATAAAATAAATAAAATTTTAAATGATAAATTTAATAAACATATTGTTGACATAACATAACTGATATACTTAAATACCTCCAACAGATGTTTCTGGACAGCTTGATTCTGAATGATTATTTTCAATAGTATTAGTTTCTATAGAATCTTCTTCTGATATTTCCAAATTACGAGATTGATTAAGAGTAATGGTGTTTTGACTTGCTCTTAGTTCTGTAATGCTTGTGCGTGTTCGATGTTGCAATATAAGTACTGTGCGTATTATTGGTTGATCAGCAATATTTGTAGAACACCAAGCAAACCAAGCTACCAATATTATACTCAAAACAATAAAAAAATCTGTAACTTCATCCCCAACACCTTCTATCAAAGACATTTTGTTTAATTTAATCTGTTGTAAGAACCTATAAAAAAATATATATATAATTTATAAATATTATAATTTATCAATAACATTTCATGTGAAATATTTGCAATTAAAAAAGTAAAATAAAAAAAAAGAAAAGTTAAATATTAATTATGCCTTTAAGGTTACATCTATTTATAGAGAGATAATAATTAAAATAACTTATAAATAATTAAACAAACTTTCAATTAATTCAAGTCATTTTTTGTTTTCTTATGCAATATATAATTGCTATTTAAGGTTAAATGTCCTACATAGAATTTTGATAAATCTCTACAATATGGAAAAATATTAATAGACAATTGCAAAGTAAATAAATAATTTCTAACAAAATTTTCTTTAAAGAAGATCAAATAAAAGTAAAATGGAGACAACTTTTTAAATTTTAAATGTCTACACGTCAATAGAACGTTTTAAATTACGTACTAAATTAACACTTTACTTTATCCTCGATCTTTACGAGTTTGTTTTTAATGCTGTCGCAGTAAATAGAAAATACCTTTCTTATATTAATATATGTATATATATAAATTATAAGCAAATTAATACAATTAAAAAAATATAGTTGACAAAACTATAAATATCGCATTCATAAACATATGTGCATGACGCAGTAGCTAATGACAAGCAGCGACATTTATTATTTAACAAACAAGCTCATGTGTGTGCTGTTATTATTAATCATTATTAATATGTTAAAGCAATAAACCTGTGAAATGCGTATGTAGCATAAGGATAACAGCGTAAACTTACGTATCTATTTACAAACTGTTTTAAAGAATTATTTTAGGAAATAAATAGTCATCTTCAATAATGCTTTTATATGTTTGATAAATTTATATATTTGAAGATTTTATTTTTTTAATTTTTTTTTATACTTATTTATAATAAATGTTATATATATACTAGAGACATTGGAAAGGAAAATACGTATGCCAATATATTTACTGTATATACTCGAGGCATCGATATCTTTGCTTACATTTCATTTGTGCAAAACATGTATAGTGTTTTAACTAAAGTTACTAGAAAAATAAATACGAGAAATTATTTTCCATTACCAATTTTAAATAATAGAAATCAACTATTTTATTACTGTATAATTATCTCTTTATATGTCAAATATATTTTAGTATATTTATAATAATAAAATATATTTTATTTATAACATATTTATATATATTATTTATAAAAATATTTTAATTGTAATATATAATTAAATGTTATAATTAAATAATTAGAAATTGAAACAATTCATGTAGTAACTAAAGATAAATTCTACGAATAAAAAAGTGAGGTTTAAAATTTCATGCTATTTTGTTGGTATTTAAAAAGATATTTTCTTTCTATTATAATTAATAGTGATATAAATAATAGAAATAAGTTTTTCTTAATACAGTTTTTAAAACAAATTTAATTGAAGATAAGAATTAGTAACAATTTGTCCATTAACGTCATTGGTAGATGTAACAACCAATACAATAGTGCCAATGTTAATATTCCTAGGAATTTCAATGTATAGTCTTATTCTTATGTAACTACATGATAATTGCGACAAAAATTTGTCGATGAAAAAATAATTCGCTGTAACTATCCTTTTCGACAAGAAGTACAAACTATTATAATTTCCTCTTTTCATTCCTCCATACTTTCGATGGTGATTCCATTGAAGTTTCGTTTTTAGCAAATTTGAGTAGTTCTAAAGTTATTATTAATAAATAAGTGATATTCTTTTCAAGTGTATCATTAAAATTAGTTAACTTTTAGATATATAGATGATATTTATCGCATTACATCTTGATATAACCGTACTTATTTAGCAACCATTTTTCAACGGTCTGCCACGTTTATAACGCTCTTAACGTTTTAGGTATACTTTTAAGTGATACATTTTTTTTTATTTAAATTAATATTTAAAGTGGAAATGAATGAAAAAAGTTAGATATTGCAATAATTACCATATATTAAAAATTACATTCAATTATTAATTATTTATTAGTTATAACAATAAATTTCATTTATTTATTTAACTATAAATACTTATATATCAAAGTAACATATATTTTTCTACTGATTTGAAAAGTCATATTAATATCATTTGTATTTTTTTAGGATAGAAAAAAAAAACATCATGGTGAACGTCAATCCAAGAGTTTTCTTTGATGTAGAAGTAGGTGGTCTACCTATGGGTCGCATTATTTTTGAACTCTTTGCGGATGTATGTCCTATGACATGTGAAAATTTTCGTGCCCTATCTACCGGTGAAATGGGAGTTGGACAAACAACTGGAAAACCTTTGCATTATAAAGGAATTGTATTTCATAGAGTTGTGAAAGATTTTATGATACAAGGTGGTGATTTTGTAGTAGGTAATGGTACCGGAGGTGAATCTATCTATGGTGGAACATTTGCAGGTAAAAATATAAATAAAATTTAATATATATAGTGTTATATATTTGTCAACATATTTTGTATAATAATTTGAACCATTCACAAGTCAAAATAATAACTTTTTTTAGAATATTATAAAATTTTAGTGTCTTATATAATAGATGTTGAATTGTTTACTTATTAATTAGGTTTAACATTTTTAAATGACAACAATTAATTACAATAATTGAATGATGAATCTCTTTTATTTAATGATATTATTTTTACAGATGAAAATTTTATTTTGAAGCATAATAAACCATTTTTATTATCAATGGCTAATCGTGGTAAAGATACTAATGGATCACAGTTTTTTATGTAAGTAAAAGTATTAATATTTTAACATTTTGCATGTATATATAATTTTCTTAATAGATTATTTCATTATAGCATACAAAATAATATTGTAGACTATTCCTTTATTTGACACTACTGTATATTTAGTAAATCTAATTATTTCATATTTACAAATTATAAATATTACATAAATAATTTTAAAATCAATTATTCAATTACTAAAAGTGTTTTTTGTAGAGCTGTTTTTTTTATGTGTAGTTTTCATTCGTAATAATTTATCAAATATGAAAAAATTGTTTTTATATGATAAAATATATTATAAATACTATCAAATAATTGGAAAAAGAAATATAGTATATTCTAATTCTACAAATGTTGCCAACAAAGTTACTTATATAATGTATTCTTGTTTTTTTTATCTATTAAGATTGTTTTTGCATGTTACTATTAGTATTAAGGAACAATTTCAATGGCAATTTATGATATTTTAAATAAAATGAAAAAAAAATATATCATCTATGTTAGTTGATGGTGGTGATACCAGAGAGAGAAAGAGATCCAAAAAAAAGGGAATTAAATTAAATACAAATAACTGGGAAAATTGTTATAATTATATCAAAGTAAAGCCAAATAATAATAATAATAATAGAATGGATTATTTATATAATTTTAAGTTTTTGTCATATTAATTATTTTTTATTCCAATAAGAGAAATGTGGTATTTGAAACATTTCTTCATTATTACACATAGGACTTGCAGAGAATCTTGAAAAGAATAGTGGTAACATTAAATGTGAAAGAATGAATAACTATAGCCATGTTTTTGTGTAGTCATGAGGGAAGGGTCTGCACACCACTACTACAACACAATGACCACTGAACGCTGGCTCTTTCTGTTCATCTCTCATCACCTTAATCATATTTTGTTGTTGTAGTACAACACAACCAGCGCCTCACCTCGACAAGTAAGTCACAAAACAACAACAAAATAAATGAATTAATTATTATACTGTATGTATGGATTATTTTTAATGAACTTTTCATTTAATTAACAGTGTCCACGTCGTTTTTGGAGAAGTAGTGTCTGGCCAGGAAGTTGTTATGCACATTGAGGGATTACCGGTTGATCGTATGTCCCGTCCATTACAGGATGCTAAGGTTGTTAACTGTGGAGAATTAGTATTGAAAACTAAAAGTAAAGGTCAGTATTATACAATTTTTTTATTAACTTTTCAAATATTATTTTTATGTATAGAAAATAATAATAAATTCTTTTAATAAATTGATAATTGATAATGCATTTGTTTACAGGAAAAAAACATGAATCAAAGCGTAGCTCTTCAGAATCAGATTCCGATTCTCATGTAGAGAAAAGCAAGAAAAAGAAAAACAAAAAAAGGTATACAAAAAGAAATTGAAATAATTTCTTTTTTTTTATCATAACTTAAATAATTCTTCTACATTTTGTGTACCATCATATTTATATTTTAGTAAGAAAAGAGCTAAATCAGAAGAAGGTGAAATTCATAATTCAAACGAAGATGAAAATGATAAGCCTCATCCACTTGTATCTGTGACAAAAATTGATCCCGACGAGATACCCGAGGTTCCAGCAAATAAATTTTTATACAGAGCTGGACCTACCAACAATGCTAATCAAAAAGAATTTCGACAACATTTTGGCAGAGAACGTATACGATTACGTAGAAAAACTGGACGTGTATTTAAAGGGCGTGGTGTATTTGTAGGTATCCCTTAGTTTAAGTTTAAAAGTAAATTTTACAATAATTCACCTTGTTTCATTCTTTTTATGTTACTAATCTATAAATTATAGAAACGATTTATAGTTTCTTGTTTCATGTTTATAATCATACACAGATGAATGGGTGAATTTGTATAAAAGGACTTAATACCAATTCTATTGTAAACATTAAATGTAAAAAATGAATAATTTATAAATTGTTACATTTAATTTTGACAAATTTTCAGCGTTATCACACTCCTTCGCGAAGTCGTTCCAGAAGTGTAACTCCACCACATTGGAAACAAGCACAAAATCGTACGATCAAATTACACGAATTTCAGGTATGTTTCTAATAAACTATAACATTTAATATAAAGATTAATATCTAATCAAATTTTGTATGTTTAGAAAATGGAAAAGGAACGATTAAAAAAGGAAGAAGAAGGTGGCAAACCTGAAGGTGATAAAACAGATAAATTTGAAGAACGTGTTGATAATGATAATTACTTAATGGAAAAATTTGAAAGTAGCGCGTGTATACCCACTGAACAATTAGAAAATAAAGAAAATGATCAAGTGGAAGAAAAAAATACTACAAATGAAAGTGTTCAAGAAAATGAGGATAATAATGTAAATAAAAATGTGGATATTAATGATTTGACATCAACCGATAAATTAGATACAAAACGTAAAAATGAAAAATCTATGAAACATGAAACTAGTCGATTTGATAGATACGATTCAAGAGATAGGAGCAAGAGACGTGGCAGTAGACGATCTAGGTCAAGAGGTCGTCAAAGATCAAGGGACAGAGATTATGATCGTAGATCTAGTCGCGATAGAAGAAGCAGAAGAAATTATTCTCCTCGTAGACGTGACTCGTACAGAACTAACAGATTTGGTAAAGTTAATTATAGATATTATGACAGACGTAATGATTACAGAAGAGGTACATCTAATGCACAACATGACACAGATGGAAATACATCTTATTTTAATAAGGATAAACCAAAGAAAAATCAGAATGTTTCTGATTCTGCGGATCAACCAAAATTTAAACGACATTCACGTTCAAGCAGTTCCAGTAGTCAGCATACTAAAGAATAAATTTTCATTTTTTTGTCTTTTTATTTTCTCTTTTCCAACACTGGCTCAAAAACGAATACAAAATAATAATACGAGGGAGGGAGAGAGAGAGAG